GGGGGGGGGAGGAGAGCTGAACTCTTCCAGGTGCTTCCGCCAAAGTCCTGCGTTGCACGGAACGGCGGCTCTGGCGCTGGCCGCTCTCTGGCCGGTCCCGGTGGACGCGATCGGGGCGGAGTGTCTTGGGGAAAAGAAAGATCCAGCGGGAGGGAGAGCCTCTCCGCGGCAGGCTGCTTCCCTGGGCGCTTACGGTGGTGTGTGTGTGTGTGTCTGTTGGGGAGGAGCCAGAAGGGTTAGGGGGGGGGGGGGGCTGGGGGGCGGGAGGAGGCATCGGTGTTTGGTGGGTGGGGTGAAGATTAGTCACACCAGGAGAAAGAAAATGCCATTATTTATCATCAGCGTGCCAGCCAAACAGCCGAGGAAGATTACAGCGCCTGGGTATTGTGTTGGGAGAACAGTGCTGAACAGGGCAAACACCGGAGGAGAGAAAGGAATTAGCAGCAGATTTCCTCTAGGACTTGCTCCTGGGCTCGCCCATCGCAGTGTTGTTGTTTTTAAAGGGGTGGGTGGGAAGGAAGGAAGCCCAGACTGTAGCAGGTAGATTATATACTGGCAGTTTTCTCCACATTTCTTAGGCTGGAGAGGATTCCTCTTTTAGAGTCAAAAGACCTGCCGTTTCAGCCCTATTGTTCAGGAACTGGAAGACCCATCCCTCTTAGGAGATGAAATAGGTGGAACTGTGTCAAGCTCCAGTGGAAGGTAACATGTGGCAAGGTGTCACTCTCTCAGTTTGAGTCTTATTGGTGCTGGCTGCTTGAAACCTCCTCCGTGCACCTGAGCAACAGAATGCCAAGCCCTGGAGCCACAAAGGAACAATACCAGGATCAAAAGAAACAAAGAAGTACAGGGGCTCTGCAGTTCACACCCTTGTAGTGCTGACAAAATGAACCGATACTGACCAACTCTGATTGGTGCACAACGCCCAGCCAACTTCCAAACGTTATAGGTGACAATTCAATCTAAGGCACCACTTCCTAAGAGCAGGTTCCAACATCTCCTCCCACCACTGTAAAATCTAAAGTCTCCTGTGGAGAAATTCATCAGCTTGCACAGTTTACTTGGGGGGGGGGGCATTTATGTTCTCACTTTGGATGGACAATCCTAGTAAGTTCCTCTCCTAGTACTCAATGTAGCATACAAAGGACGCCCTTGGAAATCTGGGGCAAAGAGAAGCCTGCTGCCATGCCTTTTATTTGTCGGAATTCCATCTGGACCAGTGCCACATGAAAGAGTCTGTGCAAGACAGAAGTAAAATAACTCTGTAAAACCTAACCAGTGTACAGTATAATCTTAAGCAATGTTTACTTGGAAAAAGTCTGCAGTCCTATACACGTTTACTTGAGAGTATGTCCTAGTGATCACAGTGGTACTTTCTCTTTGAGTAATTATGCATAGAATCGGTCTGTTAAGTCCTACTGTGTCTAATATTTCATAGCAAAGGTGCTTAGTTTTTAGGTTAGAGTCCTATGCATACATACTGGAGAGTAAGCCCCAGTGAATCCCGGTGTGATTCCCCCCCCCCCTTTTTGGTAGCCTTGCATAGGATTAAACTGCACAGAATGCCAGATCACCATTTGTTTTATAAGATTATACTAATTTGCATTTTGGAATAGAACAAAGGTGGTCCTTTTGCTGCAGAATGGAAATATGTACTCTTAGATGTAAAACCACACAAGAACATATGATTCCTTAGTTCAGTATTTTTCACTGCTGTCACTAGATCAAGCACTTGTTTATCCCTTTAAATCTTCATTCATAGAAGGCAAAATTGGCAACATATGTTATTAATCAGACCAGGAATTGCTCTAATTAATAACATGTTTTAAACATGCAAGGACAAATAATGTTAACTTCGCATTCAGCCGTCAGAGGTTGCAATCCTACACATAATTAGGTTGTTTAGATCCCATTTAAGTTAGTATGATATAAGCAGCCCCACAGTGTGCATGATTGCACACAAAAGCAATAGATCTTTTCCAAACAGCCCCTATACTGACCAAATTATCTTTTATACAGGCACCTATCTAGGGCACATAGGTCTGCTTGTTATCCAGAGGGGACATATTAACCCCCAAGGGCTGAGGCGCAGAAAAGACATTAGAGTGATGTAATGCAAACTGAAATCTGTGTGAAAACCAGAGTGACAAATGGCTGTGCACCAAACATCTAAATGAGGAAACATCTGTGCAGTGGAGAGATAATTAGAGTTAGCGTGTTCTGTAGAGAAATGGAAGAGTTGTTATGTGATTAATGAAATAACACAGGAGGGATGCAGCAAAATATAAATAGTTCAATAGATCCAAATCAGAGCATCTCAGACATGAAACTACAGTGGCCCATTTTGTGCTGATGCAGTTTATCTAAAGGCCAATAACCAAAATAGCATTGCTCTCAGACTGGCTGAACATCCCGCCATTTCCCCCACTTACTGTACAATGATTTTTTTTGTTACAAATAGTATTTGCCTACATAATCGAGCATATGAATTAAAGATGCAATCAACAAACTCAAATTCCATTGCCCCACAGCAAAGGCAAGGGTCACTAAGGTGAATTAATTTAAAACCTTCATCATATTACCATAATACAATGCTAAGTCCTGAAATAAGGAGGAGTACCAGAAGTGGGGACACAAAAGTTAAGGAATGATAAAGTGAAGGCGTATGTGACATTTACACAGTAGCCAACTTTTAAATTGGTCATTCTCCTGTGCCAGCTGAGCACCCTGCCATGCAAAAATAAAGCTGGTAAAAGGTTTTCCTGGCATGTCAAGAAAGAGACTGGAAAAGCTTTACCTGCTTATTTTCTGCATGTCAGGCTGCTCTTTAGAACACTACAGCAGGGCTAGTAAAGAGCTGGCAAGCCTAATGGTATTTAGCTTTCCATCTATACCTTTCAGACCTTTCGGAAATTTGTTGTGCATGAACCTGAGGTCTGAGCCAAGAGAGCTGTTCCAAGGGATAAGAACAGAAGCGCTAACTGCTGCTGTAGTTGCAGATGTCTGAAAAGTTTTAATGGGGTAATATTATGATAGAATAAAAACTAGCTTTCCATCTCTCTGACTGATTTCTAGCATCCAATAACAGACCTCAACATTTCGGTCTACTTTTTATACCAGTGTAGGAGGGGGAGGAGTATTAGAAGCCATGGTGGAGGTGAGGCTGCACCTGACAGACAACCACCTGTTAGGTGTAGGAGGTGAGAGAAGTGTGTTGGAACCCATCCCACCTCCTCTTCTACACCTGACAGGCAGCTGCCTGTCCAGTGTAGGAGGGGGAGGAGTATTAGAAACCACAGTGGAGGTGGGGCTGCACCTGACAGACAACCGCCTGTTAGGTGTAGGAGGTGGGGGAAGTGTGTTTGAAGCCATCCCTCCTCCTCTCCTACACCTGACAGGCAGCTGCCTGTCCAGTGTAGGAGGGGGAGGAGTATTAGAAGCCACTATGTTGGTGGGGCTGCACCTGACTGACAACTGCCTGTTAGGTGTAGGAGGTGGGGGGTGTTGGAACCCCACCTCCTCTCCTACACCTGACAGGTGGCTGCCTGTCCAGTGTAGGAGGAGGAGGGGGAGGAGTATTAGAAGCCACTGTGGGTTATACTACCAAGCGGCAGCGTTAAATTGGATAAGGGATTGGTTAGTATTGGAAAACACTACAGGTTTGGCATTAGAAGGCTTTGATTTATACATGGGGTGGCATGCCTACATTTGGTACGATAAGGATAAAATTCATGCTAACTTTAAACGACATGCCTTAAGAGGACCACTGCTCAAAATTTGGAACAACATGAAAGAGCGCTACTATAAAAAAAACTCCTTTATGGATTTCTCCATTAGAGGCATTTGTGAGGCCTACATTAATAACAAAGATCCTCAGAGAAAAATATGAAATCTTACTGGATAAAAAGAAGAAACTGAAAGACGGGGAAGTTTTAGCAGATCAATATAATATTAGGCTCTCTTGGTGGGAAATTAATCAACTAAGATTAAGATATGACAAAGATGTAAAAGTCGGGTTCGAGGAAAGTAGAAATTAATTAGATAAGATTTGGTTATCATCGAATGATAAATTGATTCAGAAATTATTTAATTGGCTACTTGAGGAGAATATGTTGGATGAGACGGTAAAAACATCAGTGGTGTCTTGGATGCAGGACTTAGGGTATACACTAAATTTGGAAAAATGGCATAATGTATGGAAAAAACGGAAAATCTTAAGAGCAGTCTCCTATAAAGAAAATGTATATAAAATGCATCATCCGTCCTTCGGCTTCTGCCTGGGGCATGGGGACAGAGACAGTACTGGTCGCTCTTACTGATGACCTCCGAAGGCATCTGGATCGAGGCGGTGTGATTGATTGTTGTCAATCTCCAGGTGGGGGCTGGAGAACACTCAGAATTACACCTGCTCTCTAGGAGGGAGGGGGAGGAGATGGAAAGCTGAAGCCAGGGGGCAGATAACAGTAGGTTGATGGTTGGCTGGGAGGCAGATAGGGTTGCCAACTCCAGGTGGGACATTCCTGGAGATTTGAGGGGTGGAGCCTGGAGAGGGTGAGGTTTGAGGAGCGGTGGGATCTCAGACAGGTGCGATGCCATAGACTCCACTCTCCAAGCCAGCCATTCTCTCATGGGGAACCATTGTTGCCAGTCTCCAGCGGAGGGATGGAGATCACGCAGAATTACAACTGCTCTTCAGATGGCAGAGATCAGTTCCCCAGGAGAAAATGGTGGACTCTCTGTCATTATACCCTGCTGAGATTGCCACAACAAATTGACACTGAGTGCCCAAGACCGGGGAACTCTCCCAGAGCCTCTTCCTAGAGCTCGTTGTATTTATTTCCACAACGGGCCTTATTCCTAGTAATTTAATATGTACATTTTTGATATTTTAAAAATTCTGTTGCCCGTGGAGATAGATCAAGATGGGTAGCCATGTTTCTTTGTAGCAGTAGAAAAGAGCAAGTGTCCAGTAGCACCTTAAAGACTAACCAAATATGTGTCAGGGTATTAACTTTTGTGAGTCACTGCTCACTTCTTCAGATACAGCCCATGCTGAGCTTTAAATGTTTGGTGAGGTTTAATTTTAAATCCATAAATAAATGGGAAAGGGGACTTCCGGTCTATGGAACAGCGATGCCGGACGCTCTCCCCATAACGGGGAAGGGCGAATCACGCACCAGCAGCCTGGAGGGGTGCCACCTCAAGTGACACCCCCGCGGAGCCTTTGTGATAGGCTCCAGGCCACGGGTTCGCACCATGAGATCACCCAAGCAACTATCCGGCAGCAACCACCTGTGGCCTTGAGAGATATGGACGTTCCTGCAACTAGGCAATTAAGTGCATCAACGGGTATACATGGGAAAGTGAAAGCACACAAGCGCATACATAGAATAGCAAGAAAAAAAGAACTTTTTGGCAGCTTGCTGACAGAAACTGGAAGAGGGAGCAGATGTCCTCAAACTCCTGGCGGATATGCTCAAGCCGGTGATGGAACAACTCGATGGTATTAACCAGCAACTGACCGCGATGAATAAAAAGTTTGCAGCACAGCAGCTTCAGCTGAACGAAACAGAGAAAAAAGTGGAGCAGGCAAACGAGAAAATTAAAGAGATAGACACCACAAGCAAGAAGTTGAAGAAAAGGATGGGAGATGTGGAAACGAAGCAGAATTGTCAAGAGAATCGAGTTTTGCAGCTACAGATGGAAAAAGCTAACATGATTCTCAGGTTTCAGGGAGTTTCTAAAATGGATCGGGAAGATCTGAAGAGGGTGCTTAGTGAGATCATTGCTCCAGTAGTAGGCTTAACAGCGGATGAACTTGTAAACAAAATGGAGTCAGCCTATAGGGCATACTCCAATTACATTTAAAAAAATAGCCTACCTGGAGAAATAGTGGTCAGGTTTTCAAGAAGACAAACCAGAGATGCCATTTTAAAAGCAACATCAGCAATTCCACTGAAAATGGGAAATGTAACCATCAAAACCTTAAAGGACATTCCATTTGAAATTAGACAAAAGAGAAAAAAATTACAAGGACTTAATTTCTTTTCTTCAAACTAATGGGATATCATACAGATGGGCGGTTCCGGAGTGTGTCATCTTTAAGATCAACGATAGAAGAGAGGGGATAGACTCTACTTTTAAAGCTAAAGAATTTTTGAGACATCAGCTGGGGACAGACGAAGAGTCCAAAGAGGAAGAAAGTCCAAAGAGGAAGAAGTCTAGTGACTCTGCTACCTCTGGAACGGAAGAGGACTCTGCGGCAGAAAAGGGTGCAGGATCTGCCAGAGTGGTATACGATTTCAGAGACAGAAAGCTGAAGTAAAGGCAGAAGGACTTGGAAAATGGCCTTTTGAAGCGAAGAATAAGAAGATGATCAGAGATTTCTCTCATAACAACTAATAAAATAACACATAAATAGTGAATTGTTATAAGCAAGAACTCTACAAGTATATTGTGACATTTACACTTATAATACTAACATTTTTACTAACAGTGAAAAGATCTCCTCCTCTTGGGGTTTTAGTTTAGTGTGGTTTGCTTTCCTTTATCCTTAGTTGTAGTCCCTTCCCTAATATTTCTTTGTAGTTTTTGTAGTATTTGCAAAATAAAAAATATCCCTCCGGGGACTTAAAAAAATAACTAAATGGGAAAGGGAGATAAACAAGAGCTTGAGGGCAGTTACCAAGTTAGACGGCCTGTTAAAATGCCTCTTTTTATCTCCCCCCCTTTATTTGTGGAACTCACAGCAGTGAGATTATGTAATAGTGTTACTTTTAAAAAATATATAGAGATACACAAAAGGTATGACTGTCAACACATTTTTGGTAAAATGTTCAAGTCATCCTTTCTCACACTTAGATATTCTTCTCATTAAACAGTACACTGTGGATGCTTAGATTCTGATATGCAAACAGAGCACTTGCATCCCAATGGAACCTGTTACAAACATAATATTTGTTGAAACAGACTTACAGTCTGAACTGGTAAAGGTGTTCTTGGGGGAAAGGAAGAAGTACCTCTCTGCAGAGACTTCTCTCCTGCATACTACAAGAATATTCTGAGAAGTTTGGTATTGCCAGCATTATCAATCAGGAATTAGGCTTTAAAATAGGATTGTTGGTTTTTAATTCAGTGGATCAATTGCTTTCCTCCCCCCAAAAAAATCTTGGTCTACTGAGCTATCAAGATGCATAAATGTCAGATGTTCTAGCTTTTCTGACAGAAATGGCCTTCAGCCATCTTGGAAATTCCCCAAACCTGAAGATGTTCTTTACTGAACATCTCAGGGAGCGGTGGCGCAGGCAGTATAACGCCTGCATTAACAACAGCTCGAGCACCTGTTCAAGCCCCACCGCAGTCGAGGTGAGCTCTCGACCCTTAAGTCCTAGCTCCCGCCCACCCAGCGGTTCGAAAGCCAAGTAACTACCTAACAGCGAGTAGATAAATGGGAACCCACCCTTAGTAGGGTGGGGGGCACCCTCCTCCCTGTGGAGGTGTGTGGAGAGCAGCGGCGGCGATGACGGCGACGGCAATGGTGGCTGCAGTAGAACGGCGGCAGCAGAAGATCGGAGGAGGCGGCAGCATGGCGCTGAAGGCGGCGAGCAACGACAGCAGAGCCAGAGGGGGACTGATCCCTGGTGGCCAGCAATGGAAAGAGCAGGGTGGAGGCGCGGTGACGTCATCCAGAGGCGCGGAGCCAGAAGGACGCAGTCGGGCCGAGGAGGACGCCGCCGGTAAACCATCCGCCTGTCTGCCTAAAAGCACCAGAACATCTCAGCCGGGAAAAAGGAGCCGAGCCGAAAAAGAATGACACCAAGCCTCCACCAGGGTGCCAGTAGGCAGCCCCTTGCATTGAACTGATGTGGCCGTAGTTAGGTTCAAATATGTGACTAGCACCCAAAAATGTAAACCGCCCAGAGACCCCTAGCCTCTGGATGCAAGATTAGCAGACAGGGTGCTCCAGTTTGCAATTTGGCCCTGCAACTGTTGCAGTGAACATAAAAGCTTGCTGCTTGCACATGCATCCTTCAGTTTGTAAGAAAAGAGTCAACACAACATGAACTTTATTAAACTGGGACCCGTTCATGGATACATG